TTTTAAGAAAATTTCATAGTAAATTCAAGAGAATTTCAATTGATGAATTGCCAAGAGAGGCGTATAATCTGTCAATAAGCAGGTGGGACTCGAAAGGGAATGCGAAGGCAAATCTCTGAAAATGGAGCTCTTTGAATGAGCGATATTGTACTTGGGGTGAATAAGCATATCTGACGACAAGAGTTCACTGAAATAGTATGAATACCACAAAAAATAGTAGTAAATGCTCCTATCTCTCTGCATTTATGTGTACAAGCTATATACTACTATTTCTGTGGAATTATTTTGATATATACTCATGTTTCTCTGATACTATGTATTATTTCTGAGCATACTACTATTGTGATATATACTAATTCTTCTGTGCATACTACTATATTCAATGTATGCTCAGATTCGACTATATCTGATATATGGTACTCTTTTTGTACATACTACTACTTATAAGTATACTACTATTTTGTTGAGATAGTAGTATCATTTCTGTGTATACTACTATTTTTTATCAGACTACTATTTCTGTGTGACTTTATATTTCTGTGTAGTCTCTGACACTACTATTTCTATTTACAGTACTATTTTTGTGTATACTACTATTTCTGAGTATACTACTATTTTTTATCAGACTACTATTTCTGTGTGGCCTTATATTTCTGTGTAGTCTCTGACACTACTATTTCTATGTAAAGTTCTATTTCTGAGTGTCCTACTATTTCTGTTTATACTACTATTCCTGCGTATATTACTATATTCTATATATGTGTATACTCTGATACTACTATTTCCGTGTATACTACTATTTCTGGCTACTACTTTAGGCATGGCATAGGCAGTCCTATTTCAGTGATACCTAAGGGCATGCAAGTAGCTACAAATGAAAACCATAAATACCATTTTATCGAACTATTTTCTCTATTGCCTCACTGCACTTTCTTTTCCTATTGCTCCCATTTGCCACCATCCATATTATATTATGTATGCTGCGCTAAGTTTGCCTACTTCAGTTGTGAATTGATCTTAATGCTTGCAGAGCGGCTGACTAACAATGCGATAATTGTAAACTGTCGTCGCAGCAGGAGAATAGCAAACGTCTCCGGCTGCCGCTGCCTCGCTCTGACTGCGTGTGAGTTGCATGTTGCAAAGTTGCAGACAAGTTGCAAGTTGCGCGTTGCAAGTTGCTAAAAATGTGTTGAATTTTTTTGTGTTTGCTGCTCCCGCTCCTGCTCCTGCTCCTGGTGCTGCTGCTCCTGCTGCTGTTGCTGCTTGGAAGTTGGAAATATTATCTTCTACTTCGATTGACATGACACTTTGTGTCAGTTGGAAAATTGTTTCGTACCGAGGCAGAGGCAGGGGCAGAGGCACGGGCAGAGGCAGAGGCAGAGGCAGAGGCAAAGCCAGGTCCGGTCTGCGCAATAGCATTTGCCATAGTTGCAGCAAGTTGAACGCGCCAGCTTCAACTTTTTAAGAAGAGCAAACTCAACTTCTTTGCCTAATTGGAATATTGAGCAACTGAGGCTGCAGCAGGCAGGCAGCAACAAATATGCCGCAATAATTTCTTTCAATTTTTCAATAGCTTTGAAAGTTGTATAGAAAATTAAAAAGATAGAATTTTATAAATATATATAATAAATAAGCATTGCCAACAGGTGCTAGGCATTATTTATAACTTTTATTAATTAAAATTCCTTTCGACTTTGTCATTTGCTATAGTTGAATATGAATCACAAATATCTCAAAGTACTTTTATTTTGATAACTATAGATACAGTTTATTATATTGTGACACACACAGACATACACACGTTAACTGGCACTGATTAACAGTAGAAGAGATTGGGCTAGGTGGCATGGGAATTGGTAGTTAAGGAGAGTGGATAAAAGGACTTAAGTATACCAAGGCGAACATTTTGTATCAGTTTACAAAGTTAAATTGTCTTTAACGAAAAGTTTTTGAGCTGAGTTTGTGCGCCAGCAATTTGTTGCACTAGCTAGAATCAGCATGGCCTGTAAAGGGGTTTCACTCGCACTCTCGCTGCCCCCCGCTCCGTCCCGCTGCCTTCCTTTCTCTTTCTGACACACTTGAAAAAGTTTTTGGTTGGTGTGGCATTTAAAGGTCTGCTTTGTTGTCCTGTGGCTCGCGTGCCTCTCTATGCCAAGTGGGCGCTAATTGTGGGCGGGGCACGGCTCATTATTGTCGTTATTGTTAAAGTTGCCACAGCAGCAGGAGCAGCAGCAGCAGCAGGAGTAGCAGGAGTAGCAACGGCAGCAACAGCAGGGCAAAGGAGTTCATTTTGCGTAAATAGAATATCAAATGTATGACTAGCAGCCAGTGCCTGCTCCTGCTGCCGCTGCTGCTCCTGCGCCCGCTCCTGTCGCATGCCCATTTTCCTTTCGCAAAGAGCCATCAAACTTTACACATTAAATCCAGCGAATGCGGCGCCAGGACGCCGCGTTCTCAGCTAAAATTAAATTATGGACACTACACGACTCGATACAGCCAGCGAGCTAGTATATATTTCGGTTATTTATTTAATCGACATCAGCTGCTCTGAGCCTTGAATTTTAAACACAAATCGTCTCGAGCCGTGCTGAGCCTTTTGCAGTGGGCACACAGTGCGTATGCGCGATGCTAAACAACTAACTGGCTGACTTTCGAACTGTCCACGACAGCGACGAAGAGACAGAGAGACAGGGCGACAGAGAGACTGAGAGAGATGGACAGTTGTAGATAGAGACAGAGACAATGCCCGCACAAAAAACTAATTGAATTTCAAACTGTGCTAAACTCGCTAACAAAGTGAGCCATAGTTAAGTTGGACGAGTTCACTTTGCACATGCCCACGTAGTTGCTGCCAGAGATAGCCCCCAGTCTATAGAGCCAGCCTGATCCAAACACTCGCACACACACACACACACACACACACACACAGCTGGAATATCTAAAATGGGACAGAGCAGCCAGCATTTAACTTATCAAACACCAGTTGAGCGGCGGGACGAAACGACTTTTGTCTGTTCCATACAAAGTTTTTCAACAGTTGATGGTGTTGTTGTTGTTGTTGTTGTTGCTGTTGTTGTTAAACGGACATGCAGAACGCAATTGGCAATAAAATACAAATTGCCGCTTAAATAGTTACACATGTGGGTCCACACAACACAACGAAAACTGGGCGTTGGCCACAATTGCAAAGCATTCTATATTTAAGTATATATATATATATATTTGTATACTCGATTATACTATCTTTACTATACTATACTATGTATACCCTGTGCACTTGAACTAAGCCTAATCAAATGAAATTCGGCAAATGCTTCGATAATTTCATTGGCCTTTAATTGTGTTAGCATAGCAATAGGCCAAATGTCATTTACTCACTTCAATCGTAAGAATTGCCGATGCAGCAAGGCATTTGGCATAGTTGAGCTGATGTATGTCAGCAATGAAGGATTTATTTATGTTAAAAAATGAAGTAAAACTCGTTTATCCATGGCAATTTAAAGTTGATTTAATGCTACAAAATATTTGTTATTATTGACACGAATTGTATAAGTATATAGGAATATAAAAGTATATATATGTGATAGAGATGATTCTAAATATATTCTTTAATTTTCATTGTCTCTCACTAAATTATTTAATAATAATAATTTGTTAATTTAATTCAAAATAATTAAATGCATTTTTTAATTTGGATATTTTTTTAAAATTCAACCTTCCTTCCTAATTTAGTTCAATTTATATATATAAACTTATTTTAAATTGGCGTAAAAAAGGGTTTTTAAGAACTCTGCTCAAAGTGTTGCGGGTGATTGCAAAAGTTTCGCATTTATATATCTTAAACCTATTGAAATTGGTTTTTGGCTATAATAGTATTTTGCAACTGTATATAAGAGGCAGTAGTAGTTGTGCAAGAGCTTATAGGGTATATAAGTTTTGTATTAGGATTGAATTGAATTATGATGAATTGATTTGATATAGTTGAGTCCTTTCAGTCTGATTGGAATCTTGATAGTTAAATTGAGAAAGCAGTATTTAAATAATATATAATATA